CACAGGCCTGAGCAAGTCACATAGCAAAGCACAAGGCCCAGGGCTCGAGAAGCCTCCCTGAGGCTACAGCAGGGGCACACCCCACCTGTCCCTGAGGCTGAGGGGCAAGGCCCAGGAGAGGGGCTGCCTGAGTGGGCCCTCCATGCTGGCCAATGCGGAAGATGCCGCACTTTGCCTTCCTGCTGCTCTGTATCTCAGCGTCCCTCCAGCTAACTCAGGAGACAAATCCCGGCTTTCCCTCCACCTGTTTGGAAAGGGGGCTCGCTGGGCGAGCCAGGAAAATGCAGTGGGATTTGACTCTGCACAGCCCCTTCGAGGGGGCGCCCCGAGAAGCAGTTCCGTGCCAGCACCGACCGGTTCTAGACTCAGCCTGGCTTCCGCGTCCACTCAAGGAAGATGGGTTTGTGTTGGCAGAGAGGGCCTCTCCCTAGGTCCCCTCACCTGGCTCTGCTTTGGGGGTCCCCTCACCTGGCTCTGCTTTGGATGCAGAGCCCTTGATTAGGTGGTTTGTTTGAGGGGTGGACCTGGGGAGTTGGCCCAAACTTCTCAATCTACCAGAGCCCCTGTTGACTCAGCAGCCTCCACCCCCAGGCTTCTCTATGCAGACAAAGCCTGGCTGGCCTGGAGAGCTCAGGATAGCGTGGCCTCGGGCCAGCCCTGCGGGAGTGTTTTGTGTGTCCCCATCTGTACCTGTATCAACCCTAAAACATACAGCGTGTGTACTTGACCCCGTTCTCATTTCCCGCAACACTGTTGTGTGGACGCCGTTTAGGGGCTGCTGACCGTAACTCACGTGGTCATGGCTATCCCTGAGCTGCTCTGGGACTTCCTGGGTCAGTCAGTGTGGGAGCTGACCAAACTCTGAGAAGCTTAGTGTCTTACTAATTTTGCCATTGGCCCCAGTGTGGACCCCATCCTCTCCCAAAACGGAGATAATTTTGCCTGGAGAATTCCAAAGCTCCCCTCGAGGTTTCTGTCCGCCCTCTTGACCCCGGAGCTGCCCAAGGACACAAGCGTGGAGACACGTGTCTGATGCTCTGCAGTGACTGCTGCATGCTGGAGTCTGATGTGGCGGGACAGGCCTGGCGTATGCTTGGCGCCACGGTGTCCCTTCTCAGCCACTCGGCACTGGCAGGCAGGCTGTTTGGAACAGCATTGCAGATGAGTGTCAAAGATAAGGTGAGGCTCCTATCACGGGCAACGATTATTCAGCAGGGGACGCGCGGCAGCTCTGCCTTGTGTTGGAAAAGCTCTCACGGCCTCAGTTTCTTCCTCTGGAACTGATGCAGGACAGTGAGCCCCAAAGCTGGCTTGGCCCAGGAAGGTTCTTGGGTTCACTAGGAAGGAATTCCAGAGTGAGCGGGAGGTGAAAGGAAACAGCTTCACTGAGGTGACTGTGTCACAGCTCCGTGATCGTGTCTGCAGAGCAGGGCCACCCCCAGGCAGCTTGGGGAGCAGCTGCTCAGGGATAGGCCTGCAGTCATATTTATACCCGTTTTTAACCACATGCAAATTAAGGGGTGAGTTATTCAGAAATTTCTAGAAAAAAGAAACTTCCAGATCATTGCCATGGAAAGGAGTGGTAACTTCTGGGTGTTGCCGTGGCAATGGTAAGCTGACCTGGCCCTGGTGGGCATGCCTTATGGAGAGGTGCTCCTGACTCCTTCTTGTTTCAACAGTCCTCAATCTGGTCCGGAGTCAAGTCCCCCCTCCTGTCTTGATGGTTCCTACCTGAAAAAGCATTGAGAAGACTCCACAGGTGAACGTGCAAAGCTGGGGTGCAGTGGAACCTCGTAGGGACATACAGGATGAACTGTGTGCTGCAAACATGACCTGTTGAAGCCCTAACTCTCAGAACGTGACCTTATTTGGATAGGGTCTTTAAAGAGATGAGCTAAAAGGAGGCGTGAGGTTGGGCCCTAACTCAGCATGGCTGGTGTCCTTATAAAGAGAGGAGATATGGACAGAGACAGGCACAGAGGGGCGCCCATGAGGACGCAGGGGGAAGACGGTCACCTGAAAGCCCAGGGGAGGGGCTCAAAGGAACTGACCCTGCCACGCCTAGACCTCGGACTTCAGCCTCCAGAACAAGAGAAGATCCGCGTCTGCTACCGAAGCCTCCGGCTGGGGGTCCTTTGTGGTGGCCACCCCGGTGAACTCACACGGGATGTGTGAACTCACAAAGGACACGCAAAAGTTTCCCCAGTGTCTCCTCTGGGACTTCCTGGTGGTTTGAAGAAGGCACTCTGTTTCTGAAGGGCACTGGCAGCGTATTTCTGGGTTTAGAACTTTTCCCATGCATATTTGAAGACGTATTTTGGGAAGATAAATATTAGCACGTTTCGCTGCTGTGGAGAGGTCCTGTGGGGTCTGTTTTGAAAATACGTGATGGTTCTGACCACAGAGCCCCGGGCATCACTGGCCACACCGTCGCCCACAGGAGGGGTCAGCAGAGCTCCGGTGGTCCAGACAGACAGAGCCTCTGTGTCCGGTGTGGCTGGGGGTCCTTGGGATGCCTGCCGGCTCAGGCGTGTCCCTTGCTTAGCTTGTTTGGAGGCAGAATTAACCTAATGCCTTCACTAATTATATTTGTTTTTGTCCAGGAGTTGGTGATTTGTGCAAACATCAAGGACACATGTTTTGGGGGCCTATGTGCCAAGGGGCAGACAGAGAGCTTGTGTGTTTGGTGAGGGTCATGGCCTTGTCACTGAGCTTCCCTGATCCTGGGGGCCCTGGGTGGCTGCCTGCTTCCCCCTGTGGGCTGCTGAGTGAAATGGGGGTTCCCAAGGAGCAGTGAGGGGGAGGTCCACCCTGGTCGCTGGGCCCTGTGGTGAGAGCCTGCAGGTGGCACTGGGCACGCCTGGGTCACCCCTGCCATTGTAGGGCTCCCGCTACCCAGCTGTTGACAGAGCCACTGCTTACCCTGGGTATAGAGCATGTGGAGGGTGGAATCCCACGTGTGGGTCCAGTACTCACATGTCCTGACCTCAGGAGCACATGACTGTCTTGGGCCCCCCAGCATCCAAGAGACACCTGGATAAGGGCCAGGAGGTGCATGGCACGGGCTCCCTGGGAGGCATTTGGTTTTCATTAGTAAAGAGCAGCCAGGAGGAACCTGGAGCTCCCACCGCAGTGGACTTCATGGCATTCTCTGCTGTGTCACGTGTCCTGGGGTGGGGAGCCCAGCTCGCCCCCTGCCTGCCTCAGCCCCAGGCTTGCAGCCGCAGCGCTCCTCTGATCTCCGCCTTCGGCTGCGCATGGCTTCTCCGTCGTGTGTCTGTGTCTGTCTTCTCATGGGGACGCCAGTCACATCGGGTCAGGGTTTATCCTATTCTAGTGTAAGCTCATCTTAATTTAACTATTTCCAGCTGCAAAGACCCGACTTTCAAGTAAGGTCATGTTCACTGGTGCCAGGGTCAGGGCATCCACATATTTTTCTTGGGGGGAGGCAGGGGACCTGTAACAGACGGCAAGGCAGCCCCTCCCTTTAGGAGCAGGACTCAGCCGAAACGCAAGGGGGGCCATGAGGATGTGGAGGTACCGCCCCGACCAGTGACCATGGGGGTTTGTGGGAACCGTTTCTTACCAGCAGGCCCTGGGAAAGTAAATGCAGGCCGTCTGGGAGATCGCCAGGCCTGCCCCCTCTGCATCTTTCTGAGGACAAAGGACATTTGCAGCCGTGGTGCTGGGGAGCCAAGGAGACGCCGGGCTGCAGCCACCCTGGGTCCTGCAGGGGTGTGCATGTGCCGCTTTGTGAGCGAGTGAAGAGGGGATGGGTGAGTCCACGCACAGCAAGGGGAGAAAGAAGTCCCCACTCACATGGACACCGAAAGACCCCTCCCAGTCACCACTGCCAGGCCAGGAGTGGGGACCTGCAGTGCCCAGGTCCCCGTCCAGTCCATAGGGCAGCTGGATGGGGTGGGGCAGGGAAACTGTCAAAGTACAGCAGTGCAAACCTGGCCAGAGCCCACCGTGCGAATGCCCATTGGGACTTCGTGGGCCTCTGTGGCCTGAGGCTCAGTGGAAGAGAATTAAGACTTTTCTCAAAGTAGAAAAAGAAGAGGAGAATTCCTTTCCTTTTCCTCCTCCGGGGGGTGGAGTCATAAAGGGACCTCCAGGCAGGCACGGCTGAGGGCCACGCATGCACCCTTCATTCCTCCACCAGCTGACGGTGTGTGCATGAGCGTGGATGGAGCGAGTGCCGTCCTCCGTGTAGGGGAGCCCTCCCAAGAGAACCCCACCAGCCAGGGAGCCCCAACCAGCCCCCAGCGGAAGGGTCTGGGATCAGGTCCCGGGTGAGCATGCTGTGTCTCCCGGAGCATTTGTTTGGGGTGGCCTGACGGACAGGCATGGGGAAGAAGTGAGCCGATTCTCAGAACTATCCCCCATCGTCCAGAGGCGTGCAGGACAAGGCGCCCCTCCACCCCCACCAGCCCCACCCAGCAGCCCCCAAAGACAGTATCAGGCACCCCAAGGATGGGGTTGACTGCTGAATCTGCAGTGGTGACAGCTTGGTCTTCCAGCAAAATCTCCAGGTCCCAGGGAGTTCCAGCAGTGTCCTAAGACCCCTAGTGCAGCGTGCCTGCCCTTCCCCCGTGATGCCCTGCTTGTCAAGGGGGTGAGGCCAGCCCACTGTCACCCATGGCAGTGCCTCCATGGGAACACACTCATGGGGAATTAAAGACAGTTGTCACGTGCTCCCAGTCGGGCCAGGATGGAAAGGGTCTTCTCGTCTGTACAGTGGGTGCAAAGCCAGTCAATTTCGACAGGGGGGTGCAAAGCCAGTCAATTTCGACAGGAGCAGGTGCGCAGGAAGCAAGGGCAGCGCCAGCCCAGGAGGGCCTGGTGATGTGTACGGTTATTATTGGAAGTGTGATGGCAGTTGGGAGTGCAGGGCCATGAGTCACACCCAAGGTGACCTTGAGTCATGCATCTACCCGGCTCTTGGGCCTCGGGCTAACCAGCTCCCCGCCTCCTCTCCACACAGGAGGCCACAGAGAGGTTTGCCGAGCCCGGCTGCCCAACCAAGTGTCTGGGGCCAGCGGCTCCCGGCGTTCTCCTAAGCCTGTGGCTTCCCTGGGGATCCCTGGGACTCGCTGTCCCAGACAGAGCCTCACCCACTTTGGAGCTGGTTCTCCCAAGTGCAGGGCCCGAGGGTATCGTGGCTGCCAGGGCGGGGCAGGAGCAGAAACTGAACAGGCTGTACCCAAGAATGCAAACGGCGTGAGAACAGGGAAGGGCGCCGGCAACAGCGACACTGGCAGCTGCGTCCTGCCCACACAGCTGGCATGGGAATTCCCCGCCTGGAGCCCGCGCTGCTCATGTCTTCGTTGAAGAAGGGATAAGGGGCTAAGTAGGGGGTGTCCCTGACCAATGGGACCTAGGGTCTAACTTGACCCACAGGATGGCTGCTCTGTCCACCCCAGCCCTGTGGATATCTCTTGCCCACCCAGCCACGGCAAAAATGAGGCGCCCCCCACCATGGTGACCCTGTCTGCCAGCCCCAAATTTGAGACTCAGAGTTGGACAGGCCAGAGTGCGGAGGAACACCAGCCCCCTGGAAGCCCCTGGAATACGAAGCCGTCACCGCTGAGATCATCCGTAAGTGCCTGCTGATCACCCCTTCCGCCTCCAGATGGAAGGAAATCCTACAAAGGAAACACACGTATCAGACTTTCTAGACTCTCTCTCACCATGGGCTAACACCGCAGAATGACTTTACCGTTCTAGAAACATGGACATCCGCCCCGAGGCTTTGATTGGGGAACGGAGCCCCTGCTTTTCTAGAGTGAATTTTTTGAGCAGCTTGCAACCTCCGCCAGTAATTTGTCTCTTATTCCAGAGGGTGCCAGGCACGAGGAGACCGTGGGCTTCCTGCTGATCCAGGCCCACCTTCTGTGGATAAGATGAGGCCTTCCCTGCCAGTGGGAGCCAGGCTTATGGGGGTGGGGGACAGCCTGGGCCCTCCCAGGGACTCTAGAGGAGGAGGATGTGCTGGAAGGACCGCACCCCAGCCCGAAAGGACACCCCCAGGGCAGCCAGGCCTCCTGCTGCAGGTGACCCCTATGCCCCACACAGAAAGCACCCTGTTTATCAGGGCTTCTCATGGGCAGAGTAACCCCGGAGCCCCTGGAATAAAACTCATGCGTTTATGAAGTAAGACCAGGATTAAGGATCTAATGAGATTGTGTTGGTGGAAAAGGTCGGGAAAGAGGGCGTGAGCTTGGTGCTGTGCTGGTGAAGGAACGACCTGCCCAGAATTACTGGGGGCCACACAGGCCGGGTGAGCAAAGCCAGAGGCGTTTCCAGATCCCCTCCGGCTGGGTCCCCGTGGAGGGCGAGGGGTGGGAGGGACAGGGGGGCCTGCAGGGAGCGTCTCCGAGTGAGACGCTTGGCCAGGTCGCAGATCCAGGCAGCTGGTGCTTTTACTTTACTTATCTCTTCTCTCCCTTTTTTTTTTTTCTGTTTAAAGTTTTTCTAACATTTTTCTGTTTACTTTCAACAAGTTAAAGAACTCCTTGTTTTATTTATTTATTTATTTTCCTGTGGTGAAATATGCATAAGATAACATTTACCGTTTCAACCACTTTTAGGTGTGTAATTCAGCGGCATGAAGCATATCCACATTGTTGTCAGTCATCGCCACCACCCATCCCCAGAACTTCCCATCCTCCCAGACTGAAAGCCCGTCCCCTTTGAACGCTGCCTCCCCACACCCCTCCTCAGTCCCCAGCACTCACCATTCCACCTCCTGTCTCTACGAACCGGACGCCGCTAGGGACCTCATACAAGTGGAACCACCCGGTGTCGGTCCCTGTGTGCCTGGCTTATTTCACTCAGCATCAGGTTCTCAAGGTCCGTCCATGTTGTGGCGCGTGTCAGGATGTCCTTGCTTTCTGAGGCCAGATCCTACGTGGTCTGCGTAGACCATCTTTCACTTGCTCACGCCTCCATCCACGGGCGCTCCAGTGGCTTCCATCTGTCGGCTGCTGTGAATAAACCTGCTGTGAACACGAGTGTACAAATATCTCTTTGCATCTCTGCTTTCAATTCTTTTGGGTATATACCCAGAGAAGAAATTGCTGGATCACGTGGTAATTCGATGTTTAATTGTTTTGAGGAGCTGCCATACTTAATAATTTTTGAAGGTTTAGGATTTCTTTGGGAGTTTCCTTCATATTTTTTATAATAATGTCACAGAACTAATTTTGATGAAAAATGCTTATTCTCTACCTTCTCATTCTGGGGAAATAAACTAGTGTGATTTGAATATAATGTAATTGCGTACAAACCCAGCCACAAAACCGGGCGCTGTGCTCCAGCAGAGGTTCAGGAGTTATGCCACTTTGCTAGGGAGGGTATGTTTCCATGATATGCCAGTGGTGGGTCCTCTTAAAAGGGTGTGTATTCTCTTGCTGACTGTTTAGAATTGGCAGGATGTGGTAATAATAGTTGGTTTTACTATCATTTTTAGATTCTTTACAGGCATCACACTCCCAGTCGTCTTGTTCCCTCCTATTACACTACCCACCTGCTATACCACTGATCATAGCTGTAGGTGCCTAGGACTGTAATGCTGATACAGCAACAAAGCTACAAATGGCTCCAGGCCCAGACAATTCCACCACACTGTTAAGGAACTGATAATATTTAAATGGATGCAAAGCATAAATAAGGAAAGAAAATTTCCAAGTTCTCTTTATGAAGCTACCATAAGAATGATACCAAAACCCAAGGAGACAAGCACAGAAAGAAAATCATAAGCCAATCTTATGAATGAATAGCAATATAAAAATGTCAATTAAATTGTCTAAAAACTGTAAGCCATGACCTAGGAGACTTGAAGATGGTTTGATATTAGGAAATATCTTAAAATAGATCTTCGCATTCATAGAGCCTATAAAATTGCAGTAATTGGGACATGGACCCACTAGTCAGAGAGCAAAGAAATTAGGCAGAAGAACCAGAAATGGATCCAAACACACCCAGGTAGTTAGGAAAGGTGATTTTGTCTATCGGTGTGATGAATTCCAGTTGTTCAGAAGACCCCAACTGAACAACAACCAAACTACAACTAGTTTTCTAAAAAAAAAATAAAATCGCATTCCTACTTTACTCCCTAAGCCCTCCATATGTTATAGTTACAGCAGATATTTTTATAAAATTAGAAACCATAAACATACTAGAAGAAAGGAGAGAGCCATTTCCTTTAGTAGTTTTAGAAGGAGGAAGATCTTCTGAAATAGAACACAAACTCAGAAGTCACAAAAATGGATAAAAAGAAATAATAATAAAGTTAAAAATGTGTGCCTGATGAAAAACAACCACCGTAAACAAAGACAGGTGAGAAATGAGACAGAATCTGCAATGCAAGGCACAGGAAAAGCTTCATTTGGCTCCTACATAAAGAAGTTCTAGAAATCAATGCAATGAAGACCAGTCAAGTGATAGAAAATGGGCAAAGTACAAAAACAGTTCACAAAAGGGAAATATGAAAGCTGTTAAACGTATGGAAAGATACATGCACTAATGGGAAAAAAAAGAAATAATGCAAGTTAAAATTAGAATGTAAGACCGTTTTTAATCTATCCGATTGCCAATGACAAAATGTGAGAACCCTCCGTCGGTGAGGAGTAGGAGAGAGGCATCCTAACCGATTACTGGTGTGAGCAACGTGCGATGCTTTCTTTGAAACAGGTATAGAAACGTACACTGCACACACCCAGCAGGTCTGCAGATACATGCACACAAATGCTGAATGACATCTGCACCAGGCTACTGACACAGCTTTACCTGCAAGTAGTCAAAAGCTGGAAACTGCTCCAACGTGCCCGGATAAGAGCCTGGAGAAATAAATCATGCTACACCCAGACAGTGGGATTCGTGACAGGCAGCCGTTAAAAAGCAGGAGGTGGCTTTATGTGCAGCAATGCACAAACTACTGCTGAAGGCAGGAAACCAGGTGTAGCGTGCGGAACGCTTCCTGGGCAGCAGCACCTCTGGAAAGGTGCGTGAGCGCCCGGGGCTGCCATAACCAAGCACCACAGACCGCCTGGCTTAAAACCTGTCTGTCCTCTCACAGTGATGGGGCCAGAAGTCCAAAGTCATGGTGGCAGTCGCACTGCCCTTCCTCTGAGGCCTCCCAGGGAGAACCCTTTGCTTCTTCCAGCTCCTGGTGGCTCCAGTGGCCTCTGCCTGCATCTGCACGTGACTCCTCCCTATGTGTGTCTTCTCCCCGTCTCTTCTCTTCTGAGACCATTGTCATTGGATCCGGGCCCGCTCCAATTCAGGATGACCTCACCGGGAGGTCCTTAATGACATCTGCACAGATCTTTTCTCCAAATTCAGTCACATTTATAGATTCTGGGTGGACACATCTTTTAGGGGCTCACTATTGTCCCCCTAAAAGGAAGAAGCTGAGGCAGAATTAATCTAAGTGGAGAGTTTCTTTGGGCCAAGCTTGAGGATTGCCACAGATGCCAGTCGCCCTGGATCTACACGCCGATGGGCAGCAGTTCATATGGTTTGGAAGGAAAGTGGGGGTCAGGGAGGCAGCTGATACCACGTTTTCTATCAGGAATTCTCGTGAGTTTACAGAAATAGCATTGATGAGTGATCAGCTGTACAATGTTAAGCTATAGGGTGTGGGTTACAGGGGCCAGTGCGGCATTACTGGGTTAATCCATAGCTACTCATGGCAACTGCAAGCAGTTTCCAGACATGAACACACAGCTCAAAGCAGGGAGCGGGGTGCGAGCGCTGTCTCATTTGAAGGTCTCTCTGGGCCTGATAATGACAAGCACTCACATTTCTCAGACAAAGAGTTTTTTCTCACCATTTAAACCACCACTGCCGGAAACAGAGGTAAGGAAGATATCATGGCCTGCCCTCTGAGATTTTACACCATGCCTGGAATGACCTCTTATCAAAATAAGTATTTAGAGCTATTCCATGGCAGTGAGGAGGTCTGTGCATAAACTGTCTCCCAGTGGAGGACCGGCCACACCCACACCCTCCCATGCTAAGGACAGGCCCAGAGCCCTTGAGGGGCAGCTTGATTGATATATATATATAAATTATTATATATATATATAATAATTTTTATAAATTTTAATATAAATTATTTTAATATATATAAAAAATTTTAATATAAATTATTATATATATATTATATATATATAATAATATATAAATAAATTAATTGTCTTATTTCTATCAACACAAAATTCTTTATTAATGCCGACACTTTTCCACTTTATGGTAACTCACTCATCTATTGTTTTAGTTGGCCGCCCCACTCCATCAACACACACACAGGTGCGCTGGCCGGGTGGGGAAGCCACAGGCAGTAGCAGGTGTGGAGACAGGCAGCCAGAAGGTGGGGCAGGTGCCCTCCTCCCTCCGTAACAGGAACAGCCAGGCGAGTCCAGGAACAGCTATGCTTTTCTGGCTCCCACTCAACTCCCCCATCCCCCAGCGTCCCCAGCAAAGGCTTCTCCCTTCCCCACAGGGCCCCACAGATTTGCATGTGAGTGATCCAAAGCTAGGTCAGTCATAGGCAAACGGGCCTATGCAGATATTCTGTGTTAGCCAGATTGCTTCTGCCAACTCAGGGTTTTCCGGTGTAGCCGTCTCCTTCCTGTGCCTTCTGTGAACTCAGGGTTTTCTGGTGTAGCCGTCTCCTTCCTGGGCCCTTTGGTCTGCTCTCCATTTGTCCTGAGAACAAAACCTGCTGCCCCACCCCCCACCCCCAGTGCCCCCCCTGCCCCCCAGCACCTCCTCCTGATTCACTGAAGTTGGTGTTGCACAAAGTTCTCTGCCTGTGAACCCGCATCCCTAAGCGTGCGGCCTTTGAACCTGCGTCCCTAAGCACACAGCCTGGGATGTGGAGGGGAACCTGGGGAAGTTTACACATTTTCCCAGCCAGACCCGCAGTATCAGTGGTTCTCAACCAGGAGTGGTCTAGACCCTGGGACATCCGGTGAGATCTGCACACAGTCTGGGTTTCCACACTTAGCAGGGGAGGGGTGCCATTCAGCATCCTGCAGTCCACAGGACGGCCCCCACCAGAAGGAATTTTCCAGCCCCAGATGTGAGCCACACGAGCCAGGGTCTGAGTGTCGGGGCTGGTGGTAAAGGTATCCTGGGCAGAGAGGGTAAAATTCTTCCGGAGGAATCCAGAGGCTCCTGTGACTTCTCTGTGAGGAATGTGTCCCTCTTCGAGACAACCCTCCCAAGAGACAGGCGGGGGTCCGTTCTTGTTGATCATCTCACAGAGTTGGAGAACTACAGTTATCCTGGAGGCCAGATTGGAGGTGTCTCTGCACCCAGGCAGTGGCCCGGCTCACCTGCTGCCCAGGGAGGGTGCTCACATGCGTGGCCTTGGGGCCTGTTCTGCCGGGACCTTAACCCCATGGTGAGCCCATCTGGGTTTTCCTTGCCCTTCTCTGGACTCAGTGGTCCCAGCCCCTTTGAACTTCCCCTGTTATCTTCTTGGGACTTACCAGTTCCATTCTGAGTCCCACATGGTGGCTGGAGAGACTCGTATTGGGTGGAGCTTCAAAGCTGGTGTGACCCTGGGACTGAGGAGGGTTCTGAGGACTTTGCAGTTATGGAGACAGCCAGAAAGCCACAGTCCCTTCTCTCTACACACTGAGGAGGTGCCCACTTGGTGGAAGACATGGCCCTTCCTGCCAATGTGCACCTCCCCTGAGCTCCTGCAACACCAGCAGTGGTGAAGGTACCCCCTCCAGGAACCCTGGCCTGATGGCCTCGGGGCATCCATCACCAGTGAGGTCCTTTCCCCAGTTTTGAGAACACACATGACTTTACATCCAGCCCAGCAGCCCCCATATACCCCCAGGAAGGATCCCCCACTGGAGCCTTCAGAGGGAGCACAGCCCTGCTGGCATCTTGGATTTCTGGTCTCTAAAACTGTGTGAGAATAAATTTATGTTGTTGGTTTTGTTTTGTTTTGTTTTGAAGCAGGACCTCACCCTGTAGCGCAGGCTGGAGTGCAGT